AATTTTGAAATTTTTCTTGTTCTTGCATTCATTCAGTCAGTCGGATATAAAGATTTTTAAAATTCTTAATCATTCTATTTTACTAAAGCTCCAATTAGTACAAATGTCTTGTGCTACAAAGAAAGTAATTTATAATATATGTAACTTATGTCATCTCAATTCATAAAAGTATAAGCATTGTAAATGCAGTATCTTAAGCGACTGTTTTATACGATACTTTTCCAAATGAGTTTCTTAGGGTACGAACTTCCTGTTTTCTCTTAGTTTGTGCTTCTTTCCCCAATCTATTCTTTTGAAAAATTGCAGATACTGAAAAGACATAAAGGATGATTGTGAAAGCAATTATCTTGATTCTTCTTCCCACTAAGATTTAAGCAGACAGAAATGAAATAAGAACCATAACAGGCTTTTTAATTATACCAATACGTTCAACTAGGTACTTAAATATAACTGAAAATCATCTAGGATTAGAAAGAATAGATTCTACAGGTGGAGCNCTGTCTCAATTTCATTGTTGCTCTCGTGGTTACGTTATACTCTAAAAATTACATGGATGGATGGAGGCACTTCTAAATGGAAATTATATAAAAAGAAATGAGGATGGAATGTTATTTATATATTTGGTGAGTATTCAAAAATAAATTAATATTTAAAAACTGTTTCTAAAATTAAAAATATAAAAATGGGTTGAGACTGGGATTACAAAAAGCCTGTCGAGTCGAGCTTGGGCATTACCTATCATCCCAGTAAAGGGCCCAAGCAAACATGGGCCTAGGCCTGTGCCATGGGGGCCAGGATGGGCCCAGGCAAAGGGCCCCCTGGCCCATTGCCATCTCTAAAAGCCAATGCTCATAATTCCATTTTAGTTTGCCCCAAAACTAATTTCTCCATGATACCATCTGCTCCATCTTCACTTGACATTGAACTAGTCAATTTCCTGGAACCACTCTCTTACTCATCCTAGAAAGTTGCCATGCAAGCTAAGTCTGATGCCCTAATATCCAACAAAACCTAGGAACTTGTTCCAGCAACACCTGATATGCATATAATTGGAAGTAAGTGGGTTTTCATAATCTAATATAACTTATATGTTCCAATAAGAGGTTTAAAGCCAGACTAGTGGCAAAAGGATTTCAGTAGACACTTGGTATAGATTATCTTGAAACATCCGGTCCAACGATGAAATCTTCAACAATTCAAGTTATTTTGAACTTAGTAGTTAGCTATGGCTGAGCTATTCAGCAGGTGGATGTGAACAATGAATTTCTAAATGGTGAGTTGGCTGAAACAGTTTATATGGTACAACCTAAAGGGTTTGTTGATTCTCAAAAGCTTCATCATGTTTGTAATATCACTAAACTCTATATGGTTTGAAGCAGGCTCCAAGAGCTTGGTTTGAAAAACTCAAGCACGCATGGCTGAGCTGGGGATTTGTAAACTCTGTGGCAAACTCCAATTTATTTGTTTATAGGCAAAATGAGCGGGCTCTATATGTCTTGGTGTATATTGATGATATTCTCTTAACAAGAAGTGATGTTAATCGGGTGAAAGAAACCATCCATAAGCTCAACACACAGTTTGCTTTGAAAACTCTTGGCTCTCTAAAGTATTTCCTAGACTTTGAAGTAATCAAAAGTGAATCAGGAATTCATATGAGTCAGAAGAAGTATGCTAATGATTTATTGATCAAAACTGGCATGGTGGATTCTAAACTATGCTCTACTCCAATGGTTGTGGGAAACAAGCTGACATTTGAAGATAGTGAGTTGTTTGAAACTAATCTTGTACATAAGCACAATTGGAGTACTACAATATCTAACTCTTTCTAGATCCAACATAACCTATTCTGTTAACAAGCTGAGTCAATTTCTAAGAGCGCCAACTCAATTACATTGGCAAGCCTATAAAAGACTTCTCAAGTATATCAAAGGAACTTCAAACTATGGTGTTCAATTTTATAAAGCTAAGAGATTCAACTTAGAATGTTACACTGATGCTGATTAGTCTAGCAGTGTTCAAGATAAAAGATCCATAAGTGGTTGTTGTCTATTTTTGGGTCCAAATTTGATTTAATGGAGTTCTAGAAAGCAAAAAGTTGTGACTCTATCCTTTGCTGAAGCGGAATGCAGAACATTGGCATAGGGAGCAACTGAAATTGTTTGGTTTAGGAGTTTATTTTTTGAAATTGGGTTACATCTTCCTAAAGTCCCTGTTATCTAGTGTCATAATCAGAGTGTTGGATCCTTTGCATCCTATCTTGTTGTTCATGCCATAACCAAACATATTGAATTGGATGTTGAGAGCAGGTTTCTGCAGACAAGCTGAAAATTCAGTATGTACCTACTGAATATCAAATAGCTGACATTTTTACCAAAGCTTTATCAGCTTCTAGTTGAATCTTTAAAAGAGAAACTTACAGTGATAGCTGCTGCATTGCTAGATTGATGTGTTGCTTAGAAGTTTCTGTTGAGAATGAATTGTTGTTGATGTTTAGTGTGTGTGTGACTAGCAGTTGATATTTATGGCTAGAATTGTTGTTCTTGATATCTAAAGTTGTTGCTGCACTGTGAATTTTTTAGTTCCCGCAGAACTGGTGGATAGCGATGTGAATTTTAGTTGCTGAAGCATTGGTGTACTACAAGTTTGGTGGTTTTGTTAATATTGGTGATTAGAAGTTGGTGTTTTTGATGACTAGAATTGGTGATTATTGTGAATTCTTAGTTCCTGCAGAATTGGTGATTACTGTGAATTCTTAATTCCTGCGAAATTGGTGGATAGCAGTGTGAATTTTAGTTGCTAAAGCATTGGTGTACTCAGGTTTGGTGGTTTTGATAATTTTGGTAATTAGAAGTTGGTATTGTTGATGACTAAAATTGGTGATTTTTAGATGTTGATGTTATTGTTGTATTATAAGTTTAGTTACTGAAGGTTTGGTGTGCTTAAGATTTGGGAATCTCAAAGTATCTACAGAATTGGTGTATTGTAGAAATGGTGATTTCAAAGTGACTGCAGAATTGATGAGGTCAAAGTTGCTCTTAGTAATTTGATTACTGACAATTTGCTTAATTGTTGAATTCGTTGTGACAAGCTGCTTAATTGCCTAAGTGAAGTATTGTCTAATTGTTACTGCTGCTAAATTTACTTAATTGGTGAATTGTTGCTGCTGCTGGACTTACTCAATTGCTGCTGTTGGATTTGCTTATTGTTTCTGTTGAATTTAAATGCTGAAATATTACAGCAGTTAAGTCTCTGCTGGACTTGATTGCTAGAAGTCAGGAGTAAACAAACAAGAACTGTTTAATATTTGCAGCTTAGTTACTAGAGACCTTCAAGCTACTGAAATCATCCAAGCTGCAAGATTAATTATGGTTGTCTAGAAGAACAAACTCAAGAAGCATGTTGAAAATTCACAGTTCAGCTTAAGGTGGAATGTTAGGGTAATAAGAAAACTGTTTAGTTAAGTTGCTGTTAGAGTTCTGCAGTTTTCGTTAGTTCACTGTTAGTTTTCTATTATGTCTGTTATCATTTTGTGCTTTATAATTTGTACACTGTAGCTCACCGTGAGTTGAATAATACCAGAATTTTCCAGAAATTTTCTCCGTTTATCAGTCTCTTCTCAAATTTTAAATTAAACCCATAAATTAACACGTTTGTTTGCAAATATATGTTTACACATAAAAGTTGACATAAATCTTTTTACTTTTCTAATAGTTATTAAAGTATATGATAGGATCTTGTGANAAGAAAACTGTTTAGTTAAGTTGCTGTTAGAGTTCTGCAGTTTTCGTTAGTTCACTGTTAGTTTTCTATTATGTCTGTTATCATTTTGTGCTTTATAATTTGTACACTGTAGCTCACCGTGAGTTGAATAATACCAGAATTTTCCAGAAATTTTCTCCGTTTATCAGTCTCTTCTCAAATTTTAAATTAAACCCATAAATTAATACGTTTGTTTGCAAATATATGTTTACACATAAAAGTTGACATAAATCTTTTTACTTTTCTAATAGTTATTAAAGTATATGATAGGATCTTGTGACATTGATTTCCAACCATTCCTTTATCTTAATCCAATCATTCATTTATAAAAATCAACAAGTCACATCTAATGTTAACAATTCGCCAACTTTTCCACGATTGGATTAAGATAATAGATAAATAAATAATTTTAATCAAATTTTTAAGTGTTTAGAATCAAGATTTCAAGCTTTTTTTAGCTATACAGCAATAAATAAGCTTCGTTGAATGGAAAATAAGAAAAATATAAATTAAATGATAATGGTTTTAGCAATAATCTTCTCCATAAAATGTCAAAAATCACATATTATTTTTGTACATAATTTGAGAAGAAAACTCTCCACTCAATTTATTATGAGAGATTCCCTTCGCCGTCAAAGTTCTCACCTATGAATGCACACCTTAATTTATAAATATATTCTAATTTGGTTTAGCCTTTCATTAGGTAAAACAAATAGACGGCTTGTATTTTACTATATTTGTAGCCGTTCTTTAGATTAAAGTTTTTGAACAAATCAAATTTCGCTGCGGAATTAATTTCTTCTGAACCGAGATAGGTTAGGAAGCATAATTTTTAACCTATATATTGAACAGATCAAAATCAATATTTTGAAGAGTCAAATTCAATTCGTCTGCTGATAATTTGTTTGGAGATGTTGAAAAATTAAACCCAAAACCCATTCCTAGAATAAAATATGAAAATCTAACCGATCTATACACCAAGTCTCTCTTTACGTATTCATTAATGGATCAATTTACCAATTACATTTGTTTACTTGAGTATTAAAATTATAGAGGTCGACTGTTGAAATAATCAGGATAAAGTAAAATAAGACTGCCACTGAACACACATAATAATTTTTTATTTTCGCTTGTAGTGATAGCCAAAAAAAATGACATGTCACTCACAAATTAATCTAATATGCCGGCCACTTATATATATATATATAAGCTTAACAAATCACTGAGAAATTGAGCTAACCATGAAGGTCTTCAGCTTACAAGTCTTTTGCATTATACTTTATGCTGGAATCCTTCATTGTCATGCTCAGGCTCGTTACACATTTGTGGTAAGATTAATATCAGTGCAACCTCTAAATTAAGCCATTTTTAAAAGCTAGTCTTCTTTTACAATACTCTTTTCTGCATCTTATTTATAAGGAATTATATTAATAACTACTTGATAACTGTTGCAGGTGGAGGAAACTCCATACACAAGACTTTGCAGCAATAATACCATCTTGACGGTGAACGGACAGTTTCCAGGACCAACGCTATATGTAAACAAAGGAGATACAATCATTGTAGATGTTATCAATAACGCCAACTATAACATCACAATTCACTGGTAAATTTGATCCCTTTTGTCTTTATGTTACATCCAAACCAATTTATTACAACAAAAATATGCTTTTCCGCTGAGGTTTTTGCCGACACAGATGTGGCTACTAGTTTAAACCACCTCTCCTGACACAGTATTGCATCGGAAGAGGTGTTTTGTCTTTCTCACCGTAAAGTGTGATCGGGATAAGAATTTTAGCCTGCTACGACGTAAGCGTAATCGATCGATCTCTTGCAATCAATGTAACAGAGTTTTGATAACTTTGCAGGCATGGAGTGAACCAGCCTCGGAATCCATGGTCTGATGGTCCTGAATGGATCACTCAATGCCCTATCCAACCAGGAGCAAACTTTACTCAGACGATAATATTTTCAAATGAAGAAGGGACCCTTTGGTGGCATGCTCATAGCGATTGGGCACGAGCAACGGTTCATGGTGCTGTAGTAATATATCCCGAGAATGGAACCAGCTATCCGTTTCCAGAACCTGATGCCGAAGTTCCGATTATATTAGGTCGAGCTACGTTATATTAGTAAATTCTCTTCTGATACGAATTTTTTGAAATAACAAATATTCCGATTAACTGTTTATTGTTACTTAATTAAGTACAGGTGAGTGGTGGAAGAGCAATATTTATGATGTGTATGATGAATTTCTTCAGACCAGAGGGGATCCAAATACTTCGGATGCGTACATGATCAACGGTCAACCTGGTGATCTGTATCCGTGCTCAAGTCCAGGTAAAGAGACAGAATATAAAATTTTTAAATTTAATCACAATTTATATTATCATTATTAGTCAGATTGTACAACTATATTTTATAATTTAGAAAAACTTAGATTATTGTTAACGTAATAGTAGCTGAGCACATGGCACTTGCCCAGAAGGCTTATTCAGCATATATATAGTTATATATTCTATATCGAAATTTGGTCAAATATGGAAGCTAACTAACATTAATAATTGAAATGTCTATTGGGACTGAACTTGACGTCTGATATATGGTTGTTAGTTGGTCGTCAAAGCGTGTAAAACTTGCCAATGTTATATAGCAGTCTAACTATTTAGATATAACTAATTAGTTAACTTCAAAATTTTTATAGGTTATATGTATTTTATTAATGGAATATAATATTGTTTGTTATTTAGGAGAATACATTAATTGGACACGTTCTAAGAAAAGGTTAGTTTCGAATATATAAGAGATCTATAATGATTTCTTACATGAAATTCAGAATAAATTTTATTGAAGATTTAAGTATTTATAAAATGAGCAGAAAGATTTCTGATGAATTTTGTAACTATTTTTAATACAATAAAGGAATCACAAAGCAATAAAAAATAAACACATTATACTGGCTAGGTTGAATCAGGAGATTCTAATTTCTAATTACAAGAAATGTAGTTTATGATTCCACAAAATAAATTAATAATAAGTTTTATTTGAGATTTATAAAAATTACAGAAAAGATTTTGGATGAATTTTATAATCTACTGGTAATATAATAAACGCATTTTAATTACAATCATGAGATTCTAATTTATATTTACTAATAGAGACATGTAATCAACAAGCTTACATTCAATTTACTATTTGCAGGAACATTTACGCTACATGTTGACTATGGCTTGACTTATCTTCTCCGGATAATCAACGCGGCCATGCAAGACATTCTCTTCTTCGCCGTTGCGAATCATTCTCTGACTGTGGTAGGATCAGACGCGAGCTACACGAAGCCATTCACAAGCGATTACATCGCAATTTCCCCTGGTCAAACNAGATATCATAAATTATTTTTCTTTATCAACTATTCGTAGTTGGCCTTTTGTCATCTATTATATTCAATTCTTTGGAGAGACATAATCGTGAGATTGAATTTTTATTTTCTTTTCTTTCCTATTTTCAAAGTTTTTTCTTAGAAGAAGATAATCTAGAAGCTTCTCTACCTATCTTTCACAACTTGGTTTATTTGGAAGTGGAACAAACATTGACTTGTGATGACAGTCTACTCTTGACATATTTTCTTCATAAATCACCTAATCTGGAATCTCTTGATGTATCAAGGTAACAAAAATTTAATTTGAATACAAATTAAATGTATGAGCGCATAAAGTATCCTCAATACAATGTACACCTGCTCTTGAAAGGTAAGAACTAAAGTAATTATTTTATGCTAAGTGATTTAGAGGTGTAAAGGCTATCAAGTTCTTATGATGTACTACAGCAACTGCCCACAAAGCAACAAGGATGGACTAACACTCATCTTCGAATATGAATGGTCATGAAAGTAGAGTAATCAGTCAGAGTTTGAGATAGAGTTGGCAAGAAAGCAAAGAGAGAGAGAGTCTACAAATCTGGCTTGATTATCTTTCGTTCAATTTTTTTTTTGATTTTTACCTCTTCACTCTAGTGGTTAAGGAAAGCCACTCTTAACTCCAAAGAAACTCCTTTCATTAATAATAAAAGATAACATAAAATAATTAGATTCCTAGTGCAGTAGAGAATTTGATAATGAACAAACCTTCCTAATTTTTATATATAACAATATCTTAAAATATTATTTTATTTTAACTTCATACTAAATTTCAAGCTTCAAATTCAATGAGCAACATGTCAGGTTGTGAAAGAAAGGCACAAGAGGTAGAGCGTAAAGAAAAGCCAAAGGATGCCAAGAGAAAGAAGAGAGAAGATAAACTTCTGTATATATTTGTATTGTATTGTTTACATGTAATCTGTCCTATTTATACAGAAAATATAAATACAAGGATGGCAAATAATATTTATAATGAATGTACAATCACCCATAATCAGGATACGGTTTTACAAGAATCAAGCCTTAATATCATCATCATAATGCAAGGCATAATCTCAACACTAAGATCACGGATGTAAATACTGCATTCCATCACTCCCCTTCAAGCTTGTGGTTTGTATATGTCAAAAACTTAAAGCTTGCGAAGAAGATATAAGTGTTGTCTACTACACAATGGTTTTGTAAAAATATTTGCTGGTTGTTCAAAGGTATGAATGTGTAAAGTTTCGATTATCCCTTCCTGAATCTTTCCCCCGATGAAGTGACAATCGGTCTCTATATGTTTTGTTCTCTTATGAAATACTAGATTTGTTGCAATGTCACTTGCAGTCTTGTTATCACAGTATGAGAAAAGTGGTTGTTTTACTTGTACCTTTAAATCTCCCAGTAGCCCTAGAATCTAGGTGATCTCACATGCAGTCTTAGCCATGGCCCTGATACTATGGACTGTCTCTTTGTTTTCCAGGAGATTAATGCTCCTTTGAGTTTCATACAAAACCCAGTGAGTGATTTCCTTGTCATCGAATGTGTGGCCTAATCAAAGTCCTAGTATGCAATGATATCAAGACTTCCTTTTTGAGGTAGGAGAAGCCCTAAACCAGGACAACCTTTCAAGTATTGAAGAACCTTTATTGTTGCATCCAGGTGAGATTTCTTTGGCCCATGCATCAATTGACTAAGAATATGAACTATATAACTGATGTTTGGTCATGTCATGGTGAGGTAGATAAGTCGCCTTACTAGCCTTTGATAATGTGAAGGATCCTCTAGAGGTAGGTCATTTTCTGAAGTCCCATTATCATACTCTTGAGTGGTAAGCTTGGTATTTTGTTCAACCGAAATGACACTTTGTTTGCATGCTGATAACCCAGAATATGATACAAGTTCTAGGACATATTTTTGTTGGCTTACTGAGATGCATGCTAGAGATCTTGCAATTTCTATTCCAAAAAAAATATTTTGGCTCCCCTAAATCTTTTATCTGAAAGTGGTTATTGAAGTGCTCTTTTAAGTTTTTAATGGTCAACTCATTGTTTCCTGTGATTAAGATGTCGTCAACATAAATGATGAGGGCAGTGAATGAGTTACCTTCTTGCTAAGAAAAGAAAGCATAGTCGTGTTTGGATTAGACGGATTGGACAAAGCCTATGCTTGTAAGAGCTTTTGTGAATTTCTCATTTCATTTTCTAGATGCTTGTTTAAGACCATAAAGTGACTTACACAGATGACATACTGTATTCTCCCCCTGTCTGTGAAGGTCCATATAGATTTCTTCATGGGGATCTCCATGAAAAAAAAAACATTATGTACATCCATTTGATGAAGAGACCAATCTCTAACAGATGCTACTGAAAGAAAAGCCCTGACTGTGACATGTTTGGTGACAGGTGAGAATGTTTCCTAATAATCAAAACCTTCCCGTTGAGTGAAGCCTTTTGTGACCAATCAAGCTTTGTAGCATTCAATCGAACCATCAGCACGATGTTTGATTTTGTAGACCCATTTGCTAAAATAGGTTTACGGTGTGGTGGTCGAGGTACCAAGTCCCATGTATGATTTTCAGCTAGAGTTGTAAGTTCATTGGCCATAGCTTGCTGCCAGTGAGTGTGCTAAACTGCATCAAAATAACTGGTAGTTTCTCGGTCGGTAGAGATCTAATGAACACATGCTCTGTGTGTAGGATAGAGTCAATCATAACTTACATAATTGGAGGTAGGATAAAGAGCACTTGATGAAGCCAATATTGTGGGACAAATATAGTCAGATGCCTACATAGGTGGTCTAGTGCTTTTGGTCGACCGCCGTTGACGAGGTGCCAAAGTGGCATAGGGGAACCGCAGGTGCTATCACTGAATGGTCGGTGGACTGAGATATGTCTGGTTATGAATGAATAGGAACAAGACTAGGAAGTCAAGGACTGGCTGATGAAAGTAGGATGTGATGGGGCATCATTGATGTGACTAAATCAACTCTAGTAAGGGCACTAGTCATGTTCAAGTAATAAAGTGATGAGTTTGTGTATCGTCCCATAGAGATCAAAGCAAATATTTGTAATTACCTAAAACTACCTACAAGTTATTTGAGAAAACAAAATTTTAGAGTGTAAAACTAACGGATTAAAAATAACTAAATTAAACAAATAAATAATGTGAAGAACTTTGCAATATTAAAGAAGTTAGGGTACAAATTTCCCCCTAATTATGCTTGACAACTACTCCTAATACCTGTTTGTGTTATGAATTGGTAGGTTCTTCTAAGGCCAATTATCATTATTCAGGCATAATATTCAACTTAATACAGATCCCTATTCAGTTACTTTGAAATTAAGAATCATAAATTCATCAATCCCTTACGACTAATTTGCCCTATTCGGTTATGAATTAGATGGACCACAAATTAATCCTAGAATCTCTATTCAATTATTTCTAGTTTTAATACGTTGTGCACTGTTATTCCAATAAAACAATTATGAATATATATTAAGCAATAAACCCTAGCTTCTCTATTTGAAACATCATCAAGGTAGTTGAATCAATCCAATATTAATAAAGCATTAAACCTAAACTCTTGCACAAATTCATCAACATAAATCTGGTATTAAGAATAAAAATTGTTCAAAATATAATTAGAGTTTCATCCTCCCCTAACAAAAGAGATTTACTCCATCCTAAGAACAAAGAAATAAATCGAGAAGAAAGAAAACATATTCAGACTTGAAAATAAACAAAAATCAAACTCTTAAATCTGATCTCCAGTCTTCAAGCCCCAAGAATGCGTCTTCTCCTCTCAAAAATATGCAAAATTCATCCCTTGACAACTAATCTCAATTATACTTAAATACCCAAAAAAGTCCTAAGTGAAAAAGGAAAGAAAAACTGACAAAAACGCCCTAATAGTTTCCACCACAGCCCTGGCCGTGGCCGTGGCCAAATTTAAGTCACCACAACCTAGGTCGTGGTGTTTTCTAGTCTCTTTGTTTTATCTTAATTCCACCGCCATGGTCGTGGCCTTCAAGAATGTTAGGTAGTCTCAAGTTCTTCAAGCTTTAAGTCCCAATTTCATTCCAATGCTCAAATCCACTCAATCAAAGCCTGAAAAACACAAAAGCTATCCAAATCAATAGCTAACCATTCATATCTCAAACTTAAGAAAAACTAACATCAAAACAAAGAAAACAAATGAGAAATTAACTAAACTAACGTCAAAACAACTCTAAAAACACTCAAATTATGCAACTTATCAATCATCCTCCAAAAAAGTAGGCTGTTACTCTGAAGTATTAGAACCATCATCAGTTGTAAAAGGAAAAATGTCTTCATGGAATACCACATCCCAAGAAATAAAAAATTTGTCTATAGCAGAATCATATAGTCTGTATCCTTTTTGTAGCGTTGGATAACCCATAAATATACATTTAGTTGCCTAGGGACCAAACTTGTCACGAGACCCACTGATAGCAGAGTATCAAAGACAACCAAAAACACATAGATGACTGTTGTCGGGTGTTTTTCCAAATAGTATCTCATGGAGTTTTGCCACCAAGAACTCGAGTTGGCATCCGGTTGATCAACTAAGTGGTTGTGATCACACATTCGCGCCAAAATTTCACAGGAATGTGGGCTTGGTGTTTAAGGGCTAGAGCTACTTCTAAAAGGTGTTTGTGTTTTCTCTTAACTACCCTATTTTGTTTAGGAGTATAGGTGCAGGAACTCTATTAAAGTATCCCAAGGGACAGGAAAATGGAGGAGCATTGATGGTTAAAAAAGTTACGAGTATTGTCAGTTCGGACCCTTTGAACTAAGGTATGAAACTGAGTGGTTACCATAGATAAGAAATTCTTAATGTAAGGGTTTTGTGATTTGGACTGCATTATAGAAACCCACGTTCCCCGGGAAAAATCATCTACTATAGTAAGAAAAAAAACCTAGATCTATCCTGATTAGGGGTGTGGTAAGGGCCCCAAATATCAATGTGAGTGAGGGCAAAAGGTTGTTTAGTAGTAGA